ATTGATTTTGTTGATTGGAGATTCTTTCAACATGGAATGCTTTGCCACATCTGCTACAAAAGCATATTTTGAGATCCTTCAGTTGGTAATTAATAAGCAGCTGCTTTATTTTCATATTTTCTTTCTCCAATACACATCTTTTTTTTTTAATTTTCTTTTTGGGACTATGAATTGTATTTGATGTGTAAATAGAATTTTCTTGATATTGTTTGAAACATAAAAGTTGTTTCCTTACGAGTTTCTTGAGAAAAGCAATGTTAATGGAAGATTTAAAGAAAAATTTTAACGATGGTATGTTGCTCTGTTCTTGCTAATTTCAACTTGTTTGTTGAACTAACCAATATGGCAATGGCATGCATTTAAGAAAACCCCCATTTAGTTAATTTTCGATTTAATTTATTATTTTTTTACAAAAAAGTCGCAGGAAAATTACAAAAAAAAAATGTTGCAGATGCGGATCTAATGATACATTATCATTTCAAACTAGTACCACAAAAGAACACAAGTGATTTAGGTGTGCATGTAATCTAAGTACTCCCCGATAATAACTGCAACAACTTCTGATTTCCTTTTGCCTTGCTAGAAGATGTACGTGTAATTATTTTGTACATTCAGCTAGCTTTGTCTTAATTATCTTGAAAATGGGGCGGAAAATTTGAAGATGAGATAAATATATAATTAATTGTACGCAAGAAATATTAGGAATAGCTCTGACAATTTGTTTCATTATATTGGATTTTGTGTTAGATATCATTTTAGATACGAACACAATATGAATATTTAAATAATACGAATAATTTAAACATAAATATGATATATTTATTATACGATTACATCGTTACATGATGAGATTAATATATTTAAAATTAATTTATACGTAGATAACATGATATAACATGATATGATTAACACGATTATATATGAATAACACAATTAGATATGATTAATCCATTTATTTAAACAAAAAATGTCATTTAAATTAGCATTTAAACAAAAAATTATTTAAAAATTAAATATTTATAATCTATTTATTTAAAAATTGGGCATTTATAATTTATTTAAACATTAAAATAATATGATAAATATGATTATTAATTTATTTTTTAAATAAATTAAAATAATTTTAAATTTTTTTCATGTTATAAACAGTATTATGTCTTAAGCATGTCATTATTATTTGATATGAATACATTACGAATAATATTGTACATTAATTGTATCAATACTTTTAAGATAAAAAATACGATTACATTAAATTTATACACGATATTTTTCGTATCGTTTTTATGTTGTGTCATTGTGTCGTGTTTAAAATTATTAAATTTAACTAAAAAAAATATTTTTTAATCTTTCTAAACCGAATTAGTAACCCCACTCAATTTAGTGACATAATTTCTTTAAAATTGTGTTTAATTACGACCATATCATTTTATCCTGTTACTTTTTGCTAATGGTTTCACGCTTCTACCTTATTAGTATGTTTTTGACTACCTTTGATGGTTGCTAATAATCAGAAGTGACTCGCGGAAAACAGAGAGCCTGCAAGCAACGACGTCATATCCGCCTTAACCGCAGCTGGCATCAGATTAAAACGGATAGCGCAGGTGAAATCTAGTGTACGTATATTGTATAGGAATCTATGATTATCATGTATGGCTGATGTGGATTTTATATGCAATCTATAGTCTTTTAAAAGATAAATAACTTGTTAGTTTGCATGTAATAACAAGTGTGAAAAATTTATAGATAATAAAATTTATAGTCTTTTAAAAATTTAATTCATTATGGGATAAATAATAAAATTTTATTATAGATAATTGTGTACTTAAAAAATTAATATTTATAACATAATATAATAAGTGTGAAAAAGTATATATATTTACAAAATATAATAAATTTAAAATTTAAACTCTTAACTCCTAATTCAAACTCTAAAAATACCAATCAAAATGTCAAATAATTTAAGCATATTAAGTTAAAGAACCTAACAAAAATAAATACCCTAAAACTTAAAAACACAAAAAAGAAAAAAAGTTCCTATGATGATATTTGATATAAATTTTAAAAAATAAATACTTTCAAAATGATGATATTTGATAAAAAAAACCCAATTAAACTCCAAATTGATGGGTAAATTTTAATTTTAACCAATCAAATCTTTATCTTTCAATTGGATGTGAGTATGTTACTTAGAAATAAAAATGAGCCTATCTTTTTTAAGTTGATTTTTTAGTGTGGATAAAGTGTAAGGGAGGATATGCTATTTTATTTATATTTATATTTATTTATTTTAAATTAAAATATATTATTTTAATTAAACAATATAATAATCTATAATTTTTAAAATCATTTTATTAAAAAATTTAAAATTCATCCGATTCAACAAAACCAATTCATTCACTAATTTATTAACTAAATTATTGATTTGATGTGATTTAAAAATGATTAATTGTAAGTTTAATCTAATAATAGAACTGAACTGATTTTAATATCGAGTCACTAATTCAATTTGTTCAACCAACGATCTGAAGCGATTATGATAGCTAAGATTAGAATTAACACTGAAGATTTGCATTTTGGTTTTGGAAGTGGAAGCTCACAATCACAATCACAATCCCTTCATAAGCCCATAAACGAACAAGTGGGCTAATTTCATATAGCCCAAAGTTCTGTCTGACATAAAATAAGCCTTTATCATGTAGAAATTTGAAGAAAAACGAAGTCCTCTTGCCTTCTACCAAAAGAAAAAAAAAATTGACCTAAAGGTTTTGTGTGGCTTAAGAAAATATATTTTTTATATTTTTAAGAAAAAGGTTTTGTTTTATATTTTTATTTTTTAGAAAATGTGTTTGGTTAACGTAAACAAAGTTTTTTTTTTTTAAATACAAAATAAGAAAAAAAAGGAATTATGAAAATATTATTATTAATGGCATTTAACTATAAGTATAAAATATATTTATTAATTAATAACTTTCAAAACTATTCAAATATAAGGTCAATTTCTTAATTTGAAAAACATAAGAAAAAAGTAACAAGTATTTTTTGTTTTCATAATTAAAAATTTTTTTATTTAAACTTATTTTTATTTTTTTAAAAATTATATTTATTTTTTACTACTAAACATGAATTCACTTTTATTTTTTATTTTTTAAATAATTATAAAAAAAATTTCTATTTTTTAAAATCAAATACTACCTTAAGTTCTACTAAAAAAAAACATTCGATTAGATGTCTATGTAATTTCAAATTTTTGCACTCATCTCCACGTGCATAATAGTCTAACAATTTAAAGCTGGTACCTTAGTTTATAAGATTTTCAAACCTTAAAAATGAAGATAGAATTTATAGAACAAAAATATATATTTATATATATAAAATACAAAATCAAACCGTTTTATGTCCGTAAAAGAAAAGAAATAGTACATTGAAGACAAAATCACTAACGGCTATGCCCTCCTCTGAAAAAAAAAAAAATACAGGTATTTATTTATTTATTGCTTTAGTTTTTGCGTTGAATAGGAGATGAGAGTACTGCCAGATACGAATGAATAAATATATCATATACAAGGGTATGGAACAGATTGACAGCAGGCCTCCGTCCCAGACATGAAGTTTGTCTCTTAAATGCTTGTTCTAATAAATCAACGACATCATTGTCATTTCACTTCGTCAAGGAAATGACCTGTATGAATGTATATATCCAAAAACTAGAGTTGTCAGTAATAATTTGGGAGACAAAAATTTGTCAGGGAAGGCATAGATAGATATATTTTTGACATAAAAATAAAAAAACTTTTGAATTAAAATTAAATAATTATTTAACTTTTTATTATTTTATTATAATTAATTAAAATTTTTAATTTTTATTTTCATTAATAGAGTTTTATTGGATAAAAATTTATTTATCGTCAACAATTATTTTAGTTTAATCAAAAGTTTAATTGAACGAAAATATATATTTAATGATTTAATAAAATAAAATAAATATTTAAAATATAATTGAATTAAATAATTAAATAATTATTTAATTAATGACAATAAATTGATAAGAATTTAAATAAAAATTTAATTTATATTAAAGAATTTTTTTACATATTTAAGCGTATAATGTTTAACTTTTGAAAATATGAAATCATAGATAATCATGTAAACGAAGGGATGGGGGAAAAGAAATGGACAAGAAGACGAAAATCTTACTAATTTTAGGTAGTGATTAGAATGGCATGATTATTTCAAAAATTATAATGATTTATACATGATAATTAAATCAACATAAGTAAGCATTCAATAGTTTTATGTGATAATAATTTTGGATCATTGAAAATGATCAAATCATTGAATTAGAAGGTAATGTAATTTTCATATAAAATGATGAAAAATTTTTATCATCAAAGTAAAGTGATATGTAAAATTAATAATAGTCAAATTTACTTATTTTATGTGAATTAAAAACTTTTTGTATCTTAAAATTATAATTATTTTATATTATAAATTTTTTTTTTCAAACAAATATTCATTGTAACAAGTTTAAAAATAATTTGTGTTTTTTTTATTTTTTTAATATTTTATATATAATATAAAATAATATAATTTTTTTCTTTTATTATGAATTTAATTGATTGATTTTATTTTTTAATTCAAGTTTTTTAGATAATTTATATTATAAAAATCAATTTATCTATCAATAAATATATTTATTAATTTAATAATTTAATTATATTTTATTATAAAATAAATAAATGTTTTTAATATTTATAAATTATTATCTTTAAATAACTTTAAATTATTAATTTGTATAACTATTATAATATGCATAATTATTTTCTTACTTTTAAACAAAATAATTTTTAATTTTTAATAATATATAACACAATAATATTTAATTTTAAAAAAATAATAATTATTAACCAAACAAAATAATTTTAAAGTTGCTTGATAAAATCATTTTAATAATAAAATTATTCCGCAATTACTTTACCATTATGATCTTACAAAAGATGCCAATAGCTACCTTAACGAAAATCACCAAATCAGGAGACGGCTGACATCCAAAGGTTAAGGCCGAGGGAACATCAGTATGCGTATGCATCCCACCATCTTTTAGAATCAATAAAAGAGAACAGGCCTACTCCAAATTTTTGTGAAGCTCAAATTGGACGCTCCCTTATATTTCTTTGATCTAATTATATTGCTCAGAACAAATTTACCACTTCATCATGCCTTTCAATCGACACTGAACGTTCATAAATGCGCTGTAATGTCACTAGAAAAGCGCGAGCATATCACTACAGTTGTTTTAATACAATGGCACGCAAACTCAAATGAAAACAAGAAGCAAAACTCTAATAATTTAATCTTACGCATAACCAGTCATCCCAACGGTTGAAGTTGTTCGATTTGCCTTGTGAACTGGTGTTGCGGTGGTTGCTTTGGTGAAATTCATGTAGTAGTATACATTGAGAATCATTGTGGCAACCACAAACACTGCTCCTGCAATAAAGACACCTTTCCGCAATGTTTCACAAGAGAAATTCTGGGCATAAATCATTCCACGATACTTGGTGTGATAAGCATTCCTTGTAGCACCCGCTATTAGACATGCTTCCGCAACCAAGAAAGTCAACCTGCAAATGCAAATGCATGAAATTATTACAGGGGAAAAAGGATATCCTCCAAAAAATGTTCTGTCTGGCAACAACAATGGGGATTTTAAAAAGGGTTAATGTTATGAATGACTCTTGAACTATAGTTAAATATATAATGTGATACTTGAACATTAAAAATCTCTAATATAATACTTGAATTATGAATCTGTTAACTAATATGATCATTTGGAACTAACCACGTTAGGAGTAAGTACCAAAGTAGTTAAAAGATTCATAGTTCAGGTTCAGATGCCAAATTAAAGATTTTGAAGGTTCAGGCATCGTATTGAATATTTCACTATAGTTTAGGGGTCATTCATAACATTTAACTCTTTTAAAAACAATTAGGATATGCACAAGGCAAATAGTAACAGTTTAAATTCCAGTGTACTCAACCATACATATGAGCACAAAGTCACAAACATAGGCAACAAATAAAAAAGCAAGAAAGACAATCAACCAGATTCAAACATAAATCAAATTAGTCAAACGGTAGAGAAGGAAATATATGACACATCATCACTCAATATTTCATTAAAATATGAGCACAAGGAGTGTGCAAAAATAGGAGGGCAATCATTCAGAGGTGAGGAGCTCCTGTTCAATTTTAAAGAATAATGAACAAACATTTTATGTTATGCCAACTTGAAATTCTTACCATGATGAAACAAAATAAATAATAGACCAAGCTCGGTCATTGCCCGGGGCTAATGGTCTTCCAAGACACATGCACCGTGTAACACCCATCAACAGTGATTCACCTGAAAGGAGAAACAAGAAAGCACCCACTCCATAGCCAGTGGCAACATCTGAGTTGTACACACAATATGTAGCATTTGATATGTCATCTTTAACTATGGTGCCCTGCAAGCAGCAAAGAATAGGTTAAAAGGTCATAAACTAAATCAATGCACATGGCCTAGGCATAGCCTAATTGTTGGCCATAACATATCTCCATAAAGGAGGTTGCAAGTTGCAAATTACAGATTGATATCCAACCCCCACCCCCCTTATACAATAGAATAACTAAATAAATAGAATAGGCCATGTCATGCCAGATACCAAACAAAATCTAAAATACCAGCCGCCTAAATTTCCTATCATTTCAAAGGAAAATTCAAATTAAACAAGGAATTCACTGACGTATTAAGTGCACGGATGTACACCACCAGAACATCTTATACTTTTCTTCTTCTATTCAGGAAGTGATATGTCAGCATGCATATTTCTTTAATTACTTATCAAACAAGTGCCAATCAATGTGCTTCATTAGGTAACATGCACAACAAATTTTGAGACTTACAGAAAATCTACACTAGATGTTAACCACAAATAGAGATTCCTCCTAATCAACGTGCATAAGACCATCTACAATTCCACATGCTGTTCCCTTATCTGACCACCCTTCCGCCTAAACCAAAGCACTCATCAGTCTATATGAACTGGCCAAGCACAAGAAGACACATCTCTCCTACAATATAAATATTCAGCCACAATTTATAGAAATATCATTCCAATCCAGAACTGTGTATTGATGCAGGTGCTGGATAGTTACTGCATCTAATGAGGTTGAAACTTGAAAGAAGCAATTTAGGCTAATCCGCATTAGGACAGAGTAGGTGCACATATAAATGCCTCTTACTTCAGATTGCCAAGCATTTTTTATGGATATCTTGTCTTGCCGTCAATGTATTAACAAGCACATGGCTCTTTGAAGGAAATTGAGTATTACTAGCTCAGTAGAATATGAACAATTCAATTGACGAGCCATTTTTCGGTTATTTCTCTTCTTGTTAAATATGCTTACTCATGCTATAGTTAACAAATTTCAAGAAGCAAGAGAGCTATTTTTCAGTCATTTCTCTTCTTGTTAAATATGCTTACTCATGCTATAGTTAACAAATTTCAAGAAGCAAGAGATCTTTACTGAAAGTGTCAGTTACGAAAAAAAAAAAAAAGATTTCTTATTTCCTTTTCTTTGGTGGGCATTAAAAGTCACTGTATAGTGGCCTATAGGAATAAAAATCAAAGAAAGAAATTACTACCCCTATACATTGCCCGTCTGACACCTCACCAAGAAAGGGCCTATCACTCGTGTTCTTGTACAGCAGTCACAGCTGTGCCAGATTAAATACTGCATCAATTACCAGTAACAGCAGAAAAATGGAGGCAATTCACATGGTTAACAGCACATACAATCCCATACAAACAAGGTTCCAAATTCAACTGAGCAAACGCGGCATATACACCTGTTAACCACTACCATTATATCTGATGTTTTTCCACTAGGCAAAACCATGTTCTCATGGTCAAGAAGGACTCATTAAAGTATGCTCAACAACATGCAACATCTAGAAATTGATACTTGAAAAAATCAAACGGAGGACATTGACCAAAAATAATTCATCAAGGGAAAAAGGTTAACCCATTCAATTAGAAATGGGAAATCGATATGCCCAAAAGAGAAGTTTCTCCGTTTGGCTGAAATTGGATTTTACTTCAAACTTTACCTGTTAGATCAGGCACAATGTTCACATTAATTTCATGGTGCTGAACAAAATATCATCACTTCAAAGAACAAATAACATATTTTAAGAGTGAACTAATGACCTTTAATTAATAAACTTAAACGTCGCTCTTCAATTAAAAAATTGAGAACGGAATTTAATAACAATACAATGTAAAATAAAAATTAAAAAAAAAAATAGTGGCAGAAAGCACGAAACTTAAAACAAACCATCCTAACAAAAACTCAACAAAATTGACTATGAAAGTCCACAGATCTCTGCATATCACACCTCAGAAAAGACTAATTTCCTTATGAGCCCAAACATCGGACACCAAAAATGCAGGCACTAAAACAAAGTTAGAAATTAGAGAAGATTAGAGGTCATGTGAGAGTTATTTGAATAAAAGTTGAAAAGAGAGAAGATGGTGAAGAATGGGCTTACAACGCTTCTTCTTCTCTCAGCAGCAATGGCAAACCCGAATGCCACCAAGCTAAGGACTACCACCATAAGGTGCACCAGGGTCAAGCCCTTTCCTTCTCCCATCTCTTCTTTCAATGCCAGACAGAATGAGAGAAAAGATTGAAGAGCGAGCAAAGAGAGCGGCCTTGTTTAGCTGCTTGGATGGAACTTCAAAGCGCAGAACGAAAACGTACCATACGAGCAAAGAAAAGCACAGTGCGCAGAAGAGAAGAAAGCAGCGAAAGGCTATTCTTTCCATTGTGTCAACTTTAGTTAGACCCACGCCCATTTTCCTCATCGCTTCTACACGCGCCAGTCAAGTCAATGATTACCAATAATTCTCATTTACCATGGCTTTTTCTTTTTGTTCAGAATTTACCGTGGCTTTTGGTATTTTATATTATTGTCCGGAATATTTGTTTATTTCCGTGGGATCATTTCATTTTGCTCCAAAATATTTTAAAAAATCGAGAATTTTATATTATTTACGGTCCCAGATATATAAAAAAAATAACAAACCCATTATTCTCATAATTTATGTAACATTCCGAAAAATATAACTTTTATATTATTTTTTTTCTACCCTTATCAAATGATTTTTTGTCCACCTTATCCTTGTAACTAAAACAAATTAAAAAAACCAACCTATTACTTTAGCCATGAGTATTTTTCGTATCATTTTGATTTGAGAAAATATTTTTATTTTTATTTTTATTTTCTAAAAAAGAATTTTTATTTTTTAAAAATATATTTGGTGAAGGAAAGCTAAAATTATTTGTAACAATATAAAATATAAAAATTAATTATGAAAATAATTATTATTAATGATATCTAATTATATATAATACGTTTTTATTAATTAATAATTTTCAAAAGTGTTCAAATGTGGATCAACTTTTTAACTTTCAAAAAATAAGAAAAAGTAAATAGCATTCTTTGTTTTCATATTGAAATCATTTTTTTTTTTCATATTTGAGCTTGTTTTATTTTTTTAATTTATTTTTGTTTTCAATTATCAAATTTATTTTTACTCTCATTTTTCATATTCCAAGAAAATAAAATAAAAAATATCTCTATTTTTTAAAATCAAATACTATTTTGAAATTATTTTGTATAAATTATATACAACATAAAAAAGTATAATATTGATCCAATTGATTTCATTAAAATTTGTAATACAACCCTTCAATTGATTTTGTTTCATTTAATTTAGTTTTAATTTAAATTTATATAATTTTAATAAAATTCTAATTAATAAAAAGTCTTTTATGTCACTAGCGTTTCATTAAAGAATCTTAGTCATTGCTAAAAGTATCCATGAAAATTTTTTTTCTCTCTTCTCTTCTGTTGTCAAATTAAAAATTATTAACCATAGTTTTCTCATTTTCTTTTCTTTTCTAGTTGAAAATCTTTCTTAATGCTTTAAATCAAACATCTCTCTCTTTTCCTAGATTTGTCAAGAATGTTGACCCTATCTTTCTCCTCTTTCCAAAAGACCTCACAAGTTGAAAGAAAAAGGATGATTTTCTTTGAAATTCAAATTAATGGGAATGAACGTTAGCATTCCCAATTTCCTTATGTATTATTGCTATCCATCAGAGTTGTTCACCCAACTCCAACTTTTTGTAAATAGATTATCAAGAAACTTACTCTAAAAGAACAATTTTAATAAAATCCTCTACTTTAAACCATAGTAACATTTTAACCTTCATTATCTCTTAAAAAGTAAGTAAATTTTCTTTTTTCTTTTAATCAAAAAAATTTTATGAAATTTTTCTTGAATTTGTTAAAGCTTGATCTTCTTTATCTTTTTTATTTATATAGGTATTACAGTTCGTTGTTCACTTTGGATAGTTTTGACAATGCATAAGTTCTTAAAGAAAGCTTTTATGCACACATGCTATAAAATTTACCAATGCATTAATTGAAATGTTTTAGATAATTTTTCTTTTGGTGATACTTAATACTATGTCCCTATTGTTGCAACAAGCTTTTATGAACTTTTATGAATCAGCCCTCATGATTATCAAGCTTAATGAAAGTTTTGCTATTATTCCATCTCTTGATTCTTCAAACTTTTTGATGGTGTTTTTAGGGTCTTAGTTGGAAGGAAGAATGTGAGATGGAAAAGAAAGATAGTTGTGACATATGGCCAAAGAACACAGTCAGGGGGAACTGGAGTTGTTACTTCAGGGTACGTTCCAACACCTAAGTTAGTATATTGCCTGAGATAAACTAATGAAGTAAGAGAAACAAAAATGATGAGGTGTGTGAGAAAAGCTTTAATGGAGGGAAACTTAAAGAGTGTGCATAGTTGGTTTAGGTATTCTTTTAGTCTTGGTTATCTTACATACCTGGTCTTCCAATTAACTTATGTATGAGGCAAAGAGGAAATAACCTTATTGAAATAGTTAATGATTGATAGGATATTTATGTGAAGCTCAAGAAAGGTCCGTGTGGGTAACTACTAGTTACATTTAATGATTTCAGGTAAGCATGGGTCGTATTTAATGATCCTGACAAGTTGGATGCCAGGTAGTCAATTCTTAAGTAATTGCCTTGATTGGATGTTTGTAAAACCTTGGGCAAGCCATTTTCTTGAAGGTAGATGATGTGGCTATTTGGGTAACCCAAGTGCATAGCTATGTTGACCAAAATTTGACCATTGATCATTTGACTTAGGTGTAATAATTGCTCCACAGGTTTGAGGGGGTTATAAAGTGACCACCCTTAGATCTTTGTCCAAAACCTGAAAGGCAAAGAAAAGAAAATAAGATCAAAAGTGCTTTGACGAGGGGTTTTGATGGCTTGGCATGATGATGTGTCCATTAAAGGTGAGATGAGTGTTTTTGGCAAGTAATTATGCTAAAGTGTCATTGTGGATGAAACATGTGCTATGGGCGAAGGTGATTATTGACATGTCATCCTGGGATGGAATGATTGTCTTTAGGTGAGCTTGAAGTTGGTAGAACCTTAGGGAACAATAGGTGAGGACTTAGGAAAATTTTTTGTGAAATTTGTGTACTTATTGTCGTAAAAGTTTTGTGTCTGCCCGACGAATTTAAAAACGAAAATAAAAGAACGAAAGATGGAGTCGTCACCGATCTTTTTTGGCTATGTGCGATTGGTCACCTATTAAAATTTATCCTTCTAATAAGATTTTAAAATTAATTAAAAAGATAATTTCATGGTCTGCGAAATAGTCTGGGTTTGGGAGTCGATTACGCGTGGGGAAGGAAGCACCCCCACGATGCCTGTTTAAAAATGGTACCACTTAACTACGTGTTATCCTTTGATTTTGATTAAAAATAGTCTCATTCTCGGTGTTTGAAAAAATAATTTTTTTGATTTTTTAAAAAATTGGTTTGTTTGGTTTTATTTTAAAAAATTTATTATTCAAATTTTATTCGAGAAAAATAAATTAGAACATTTTTTATTGAAATAATTCTCAAAATACTCCAGTACGTTGGTAATATTAGAAGAACTCTTTCTCACCTAGAGATTTCTTAAGCATCGCTTCTCGAAATACATAAAAATCTCATCCTCGGAGGTCCGAATTTACTTTTCGTAAAAATTATATCATGCATGCAATGCAAATAATAACATGATGCACATATTTTATTTTTTTACTTTTAAAAATTTTATTAATTTTTATTATTATTCTTATTTAAAAGAAATGAAGAACAGAGGAATTTTTATTGTATTGAAGATTTTCTATAAATATTCCAATACACTGGTAATATTTAAGAAAAAAATTCTCACATAGGGATTTCTTAAAGCATCTCTACTCAGAATACTTTTAGAATCCTATCATGGATAAAATTTTCTTTTCTCTCATTTTTTATTATTTATTCTTAATTTATTAATTAGTATTTATTTATTATTTTTTTTATAACTAAAATTTTTTTTTTATTGTATTGAAAATTTTTATATAAATATTTCAATACACTGATAGTATTTAAAAAAAATCTTATCACCTAAAGATTTCGTAGGCATCACTACTCGAAATACCTTTGAATCTCATCATCAGATAAAAATTTTCTTTTCTTGCATTTTTATTATTTTGGTATTATTATTAAGTTTATTTTTTTATTTTTTAAAGTTCATTTTAAAAATTAACAAAATTATAAAAAAAATATTTCATCATTTAATCTAACAAATATAAATATTTTAATATGCATAAATATTAATAAAATAATATATAAAAAATAAGAAAAAAAAATTTTTTTTTTACCTAAATCGGATTGGTCAACGGTCCGATCAACATGGATCCAGTTGGCTCGACGGTTTGGGTGCGGTTCGACGGCTCGGCTCGATCTAGGCATGGTCTGGTTGGTTCAGCGGTTCGGTATCGATTTAGATTGGTCTAGGCGATTCGGTTTCGATTCAGGCGGACCGATCAGAATTGCTGAAGAAAGTGAGTCACGGGTCGGGTGCGCAGACCTCGAGTTGACACGTGGATCCTTAGGGTTCAAAACAACATCATTTTGGGCGTTTATTGAAATGGCGTCGTTTTGGCTATTGATAGCTTATATAAAAGCAAAAAATTTTTTTAAGTTATTCTCCCCTTTAAAAAAAAAAAAAAACTCTCTTTCAACCTTTTTTTTTTAGGTCAACATGGGGTCGATGGCCATCCGTCACGACAGCCGTCTTGATCCTCACCGGCAGCGAGTTTCGACTGCCGTCATCGGAGTCGAAAAATTTCAAAAAAACACCCATAAACTCCTCTCGACCTTCTGAACACAGATCCGACTTTCTTTTCACTAAAAAAAAATCTTCAATTCCCTAGATCTACTCTTAAAGTTTTGGTGAAATGATTTTTTTTGGGTATTCTAGCTTTTTTATTTTTTGTTGAAACTGACTTTGTTTGTTTTTTCTTTGTGCAAGGGCTCTCGACACTGGGTTCTTTCTTGCGGGGAGGACTGACTCTTTTTTGTATTTTTTTGGTAGAATCTATTTTTTTCACAAGGTTCCCTCTTTTTTTTTTTGTTTTCCTCTTTTGTTCAAGGGTTTGTCTAGGAGCTTTATTTATAGAGCTCCAACCGTACATGTGCTTAAGGCAATGGCACAGGGCTCGGCATGGGGTGTAAGCACGAGCCCCATGCCGATTTTATTTTTTTGGCAACATCCAACAGTGGCAGGCTAGGCAATAGGATAAGTGATCAGAGTATGGGTGGTAGGGTAAGGTGAGGGATGGGTAGTAAGGTATGGTGGCAGTGGTACCGGGGAAGGCACCACTGCCATCCCCCATTTTTTTTGTTCTATTTTTTTTTCGTATCTTGTATTTTGGTATTTTTTTTGGT